TCAACGGTCAAGATGGCTGAAGGGAACAAAAAACCGTCGGTCGTAATTTTGGATTTTGAAAATGCGTCACAAAACTCGACACAGCGAGGTCAGGAAGGTCAGATCAATGGTGGACATCTGTGCATTCCAGCCCAGAGTCTGAAGGGTTAAATAAAAAAATGACACAAACACAGACACCAAAAGACAGCGGCACGATGGAGGGGGGGGGGGGGGGGGGTTACAAACATTTATATCGTCTGTGAAATCACATTTTTAAAGTATTTGTCTGAGCCAGCACGAACAAGGGCGTGTCCTGTGGGTGACATCGCCAAGCTCAGGTCAGAGAGATCACCTGGACTCAACACTCGGCATGCCTGACCCTGAGACAATCGGCTTACACCAGAGGAGCCGGTGGGGCAGATCTCCCAGTACACTAGTACAACCATCCCTAGGGGAATGCACAACATTTCAACTTTGGTATGGTGAAACACGGTACTGATGTAATACGTGGTACAGGTGCAATACGTAGTACTAGTGCAATACATGGTACTGATGTAACACATAGTACTGATGTAACACATAGTACTGATGTAACACATAGTACTGATGTAATACACGGTACTGACATAACATATGGTAATGGTGTAACAAATGGTACTAATGTAATCCATGAAAATAACATAATACACAGTAATCTATATATATAATTCTCTTCTTGGAGACGTTAGAAAACAAGCTGCAAGCGCGCCTTGCAGTCCCCTCTCTTCCTCTCTATCACTACCACCCCCACATGGTCTGGTGAGCAGTGGTTCACGCTAAATGTTTACAATCATAGAGCCGGGTTTAGTGACGGCTATTAGAGGCAGATAGTTTAGTTTGAAACGATTTTAAACTTAGAGGAGGTAACTAAGAGGAGGCTGCTTTCACGGGGGAGGGGTGTATAGGGTAGGGGTTGGGGGAAAGGGGGGGGGGGGGTAGTGTTTTAAAGCAAATATTTTCAGGGCAGGGGCAACATTGGTACTGTCGAATTCACAAATTATGAATTACTGAAAAGTAGAAAATAAAACAACTAAAATGCGGCGTATGATACGCCGCGGGTCGGCTCGTAATATGTAATGCACAAAACTGACATAATACACAGTACTGGATTAATATATCATACCAATAAAATAAATAACAGGCAGTATTTAAATTATTCGTGTTTTGCCTACCACATTGCACTTTATTATTCCATTCTTATTATATAATTATTTTTTTCCAACACCAAAACAAAGTCTTCTTCTTCGTTCTTAATTTTTAGTGTTGGGAGGGATCGAGCCTTAACTGCCAGAGAGTTTGAAATCGAGACTTTCCTTTTTTTTTAATTTATCAACCATGAGCTTTGCCGACTCGACCATGCTTCCATCACAATTAAGCATTACGTGTCAACTGGTGATGCGCCATTGAGGCCATTGACTCCGATTTCAGCCTGCTTTTCTTTTTGGATTTGCTTCCATAGCCTTTGTCCAACCAAGAACAAACTACAAGGCAGCAGTTGTTTGATTTTGGAGTTGTCTCTCCTAGAAGAGTGGCTGTCCCCAGCTAACGAGCCTCATCTGCCCGAGGGTTCGAACTCGAGACTTTTCGGTTTAGCAACCATGAGCTTTACCGACTCGACCACGCCGATGTAGTTTTTTAAAAGGGAAGTAATAATTTTTTGTGTGATCTATCAAGGGAAATAATTGGCAATTAAGGAACAAAGTGAAGTAATTTTTTAAAATTTTGTGAAGGATGATATTTTCTTTGACTTTGTTTATCCCAGATGACGTTAATTAAAATGATACTTTTGAAAAATAAACTTTTCTTACAAAACCATCCATAATAATTATTTTAAACACTCATTTTGATAATAAACGCTTTAAGAATGTTACACTATACAGAGCCACAGAATCCATTTGATCTTTTTATATTAGGTTAGTCAACACAACACCATATCAAAGGCACACACTGATTAAGAGACTTAAATGGTTCCGTTAAAAACCCAGCTGTTCAATGGCATTTATGTTGTTTTTAAAGTAATTTGTATTACTTTTGGCGGAGAAAATTATATACATTTCATAGTGTACGTCTTGATAATTAGATCTATATATCTAAATCAAATCTAAACAAAATAGTTCATTTCTTTTTATTCTAAAATTGGAAGATGATGCCATTAGTTTTGTAACTTTCTGTAGTATAAACATGTGACGCCCTGATGTTTAGTGTTCTTGTAACAACAATAAACACTTTTTCGGTTGCAGAATTTAAAAAATGTGTTTCTACATTCGAATATGCTTATATTTTTATGTTCCTTATTTAAATAAAAAATTAGTTCAGACATGTTAACCATCCAACATATTATTTTCAGCAAAAGTCTGTATCTTTAAACTCTCCATATATCGCTGAACATATTGATCACATACCTTAAAAATTTAGTGGACAGAGAGAGATGGAAGTGCGCACATGGGCTTTTATATATTAAGATATGACCATCATGGTCTAGCAGGGAGGAGATCAAAGAGGAATCAGTACCACTGCCCTCCCCTTAAAATTCCTCACCTCCTTAAAACTAGTAAGTTATCACATACAATACTTCAAATCCCTTTGTAGATTTCAGTCTAACACAGATTGCATGTTATGTAATTTATAGCATACATGGTCCAGAAGGGAGATCATTTATAGCACACATGGCTTATCAGGAGAAAGGCAGATTGGTTAGTACCACTCATTTTTATATCCAAGAATCTTAATTCAGAACAGATGATTTCCTGTTAAACTAAGTCTATGGTATGTACCAATATGTAAAATGTGAAATGGGTCTAACGGAACCTAGTGATAGCTGGTATCATATAATGTATAGTGTATACACAGCATAAACTATTGAGGGGTGAGCATAAAATAATTTTTATTGTGAAATGTGTCCAAACTAATGCCCCATGGCCCAGCTCCATATACCCTAAATACTGATTGTTGGGGTATAGCTCTAAACCAATTTAAACTAAATTTAATAGCCTTTGTTATTATTTTTTATAATGGGTACAGTGTACTTGAATAATGTTGCAAGATTTTTAATAATTATAACAGAAAATAAATACTTGGATTAGCAGAAATCTAAAAAAAATGTATAGGTGCTAAAAGTGGTGCCCTGCAGTCAGTAGCTCACATAAACTAAAGATTTTAAAAACATTAGAAACATTAGTAAAATGTTTAGTAGAGTTAGGTTCTATAATGGAGGCAGCTGAGTTTGGTGGGATGGCTTCATTCATTATTGTTGATTATTGGAGGAGAAATAAAATTTAAAAAAAAAACGTTATAGATACAGAGAACTTGAAAATCTTTTTTTTCTGTTTAAGACTTAATTATGAGAAAACTCTTTTGTAGAACAAACATTGATTGGCTGTACAAGAACTCCATGATGGATCTACTGAAAACCAGACTTTGTAGTAATTTGTAGGCCTACTTAAAACTTTGATAACATTTTTAGATAAAAAATTATTTTTTTAAAAATCTACATGATATAGCTCTGCCATGTTTGTTTCCATTTTCAGTGATAAAAAACTACATTTTGCTTACCTTTGGTAACAAAAAATACTAAAAACATCAAATGGACCCTATATATATTAATTTTAAGTCCAACAAAAACCTCAAAGTTTTTACAACCATATTATTAATTTTAATAGCATCACACCCAATTTTTATTCTTTCACATTACTAGCTTTAGCAGATTTTATTGTCTTAAAACTATAGATTACCTTAAATACTTAGGGATGGAGTGGCTTAGCGGTAGACAGCTAATCTGTAAGTCTTTAATTCAAATCCGGGTTCAAGTCAACAGACCTTGAAATTCCCTGAGTCTACCCAGCTTTAAAGGGTACCCAACTGTTAGGGTAAGTAAAGGTGGCTGGGCATAGTGCTGACTACACTATCCCTTCATATGTCAAGGTCACAGAAACAGGTTTTGGGAGGGGAACCTTAAATATTTATTATTATCTATTATATTTAGTAATATAAAAGTTAGTATTTGTTAGGCAAACCATTCGACTGGAATGATTAGATGATTAGAATTAGAGTTTAGTTAGAGTAGAGTGATTAATTTCCAGACTATTATTAGATAGGCTAACTACTAAGTTTAACTAACTAGTACTACTCTAGCCTAGAGTCCAGACTACTAGAATAGATAATAGATATAGTACTAGATCATCTAGTCTAGTTCTAGTACATGAGTACTCAGTACTTGTGAGTCAGTGCTGTTGTACTGACTTCACGGCACTAGATTTAGATCTTGATCTAGACTAGTTATTAGTTAAGACTAGATCTAGAGTTCAGAATAGTTCAGAAGTTCAGCTAGTTCATCATTCAGTCAACTAGGCGGTAATCTATCGTTTTGGGTACGTAAAATCGCCCGCGGCTATTTATGTACGAAAACGTTACCTCATTGTCAAGGCTTTAATAGAATTATATTGTCATATATTTGTGTCAAATATTATAGATAAATGAATAATAAACCTAAATCAATGGCTAAATATATCGATATAGGCCAGAAATTAACTATAAACAGCAGTGTCTGAGAGCAAGATTTGCTATATAAACAGCAGCCATTTGTAAAATAGAGTGGCTTCCCCCTGAATCTGGCGCTAAAAGCTTATGAAAATAAAACTTAGACAAGATGGCTGCTGTAGTAAATGAGCATGGTTGCATCTGTTGGAAACATCGCTAGTCTTCATTAATTACGGAAAAGTTTTAATTCAATTGTTTAAAAACAGGTACATAAATGAATCAAGGAAACATTTTTGAATTTTTTAAAACATAAATCCTCCTCAAAATGTGAAATAATTATTAAAATTTAAGGAGTCACCTGTTTTTCACATTACAAATCGCGGGCGATTTTACGTACCCAAAACGATAGATTACCAACTAGGCGATCCGTTCGTTTTAAATTTAGAATTTTTTATTTTAGAAGACATGATTTGTAAATTACTTTAAAATAGTGAATATTAACTTACCTTATGCCTAACTGCAAATTTATATCTAGATCTACTCAGAGCATCCGCTTTCTCAATTTAGGAAAACCGGGACAAACGAATGATTTTTCACATCTACAATAAAGAGATGGGAGGAGATGGGTATCTCCGTGTAAACAGGAAGGAGGACGTGTGTGGTTCATACAAAACTGTAATTGTTTATTTTTAGGTAAAACAAAATAAAAATATCTGAGTGCTCAGATCTAAGATCTAGATTCTTAGATCTAGAGTTCCTTTAAATTAAATAACAATCTTATCTTTATACAAACAAGCATAACATTTTTTAAAAGTTAAATTAAATAATTCGATCAGTATTTAATTGTAAATAGATCTAGATATAGATCTAGAGAAATAGGGGTCGTCCATAAATGACGTCACATTAAGTCGTATCTCCTCCTCAACGAAGCTATATCGAGGACTAGTTCCAAAGCAAATATGTTAAGCAAGTTCCGAGGATGATTGTGGGCCAAAAAAATTCCCGGAATTCCTTCCTGGATTTCCCGGAAAAGCCAAAAAAACTCGAAAAATGCAGTTTTTGGCCCATATCTCGGCAACCAGACCACTTAGCGACTTGATACATTTACCAATCGATTTCTGCCATAATTTAGAACAATATTGCCGAAGAAAGTTTTCAAAAATATCCTTTCGTTCGGTCACAAAAAATTAATTAAGGAAATTGCGCTTAAATTGTCACTAGACTTTTTATTAACTTGTTTTCTTTAAAATTTAAAATCCAGCGATCGAACAGGTTCCCTTTAACGAAGGGATATAACCAAATAAGTTATATAGCGAGTTTGAGTAGTTTTTACTGTTAACTTTGCCAGCTTAGGAGATTTAGCCGAAAACAGCTTTCAATTAGATCTCTTGTTTATATATTATTACCTACTATTGCTAGTCTATATTAATGCTGACATTTTAAAACCACATTTTAAAATCATTCTATGAGACCTGTTGGAATTAAAGAAAATTCTGAAACAGCTAAATAATTTACTCTTAAAGATTCCAAATTATTTCCTCCCTCCTCTGTGTCATACACCATTACAAACGCCCGGACCCTCCCCCCCCCCCCACACACGGGAGCGTTTTTATGGACAACCCCCCCCCCCCTCCCCCATACCCCATCGGACAGATCCTTCTTTCTAGAACGTCAATTCCTTTTGCTGATGTGGAACACACTGGGAATTTTTTTCTTTACTCTAAAATAATGGATCCAGGCAATAGGAATTGCAATAAAGTAAAAGTCTCTGATCTCGCACATTGAAGCTGTGAGAAACATCTTAACTACAAAGAACTAGGCGCGTCATTTCCAACAGTGGCTGGATAAATTATTAAAATATAGCCTACATTAATACAATTGGTTTCTTTTGAAGTGTTAACAGATTTATCTACTCATCAATCCCCAATAAATCCTTCCGATTTAGGTTAGCCCCCCCCCCCCACCATCTCGGAAAAAATAAGCTGTTTTACTGGTCACTGCTTCTTTAGGGTGTTTGTTTTACTATTACTCAATAAAGCCAAAGGCTGAAAACAGTTTGAATCGGCGTTTGAAGCATTTATTTTCTTAAATTTAAAGAAATTATTGCAGCTTGAAATGAGCTTTTACATTTTTTCCTCCCAATATTGCCCCCCCCCCACACACACCTCCCAGCTACGCTACTGCTGCCCAGTAGCGTAGTGAGGGGGGGCGGGGGGGGACATATGTCCCTGGGCGCCGAGCTTAGGGGGCGCCAAAATGGGTTGGAAAAATAAATTGAAAGGTTGAGGGGGTGCAAATTGAAAGTTTGAGGGGGGGGGTGCAAATCAAAATCTCGAGGGGGGGGGGGGGTGCAAATCGAAAGTTTGAGGGGGGGGGGGTGCAAATCGAAAAGTTCGTCCCCGGGCGCCGGGTAGGGTCGCTACGCCTCTGCTGCTGCCACCATTTGAACCCAAGGCTAATAAGTAATACTAGCCGACCCGCGGCGTAATGTCAGTGTTTCTTCCAGACTTTTTTTCTAAATTTTCGGGGGGGGGGGGGGGGTAAAAGTACCATATGCCGCTATTTAGTTGTTTTATTTTCTACTTTACAGTAATTCTTAATTTGAGAATTCGACAGTACCAATGCTGCCACTGAAAATATTTGCTTTAAAACACTATCAGTAGGTCGTTAAGGACGATAACCCCCACCCTCCTTTCCCCCAACCCCTACCCTACCCCCCCCCCCCCCCAGTGAAAGCAGCCTCCTCTTAGTTACCTCCCCTAAGTTTAAAATAGTTTCAAACTAAATTATCTGCCCCAAATAGCCGTCACTAAACCCGACTATACGATTGTAAACATTTAGCGTGAACCACAGCTCACCAGACCATGTTGGGGTGGGGGTGGTAGGGATGTGCCTAGAGAGAAAAGGAGGGGGCTGCTAGGCGCGCTTACGGCTTGGTGTTTTCTATCGTCTCCAAGAAGAGAATTATATATAGATCTCTATAGATAGATGTGTAATATCGCCCCCGCTAAGCGGCTAAGGCTAAAGCACTTCGCCGCACCTCATGGGAACTACTACCTACGCTAGACCTACGCTAAATTTAGACCAGGGTGGCCTCAAGAAATCGCATAAGAACTCTTCAACTTCAATGTTGAAGTTAGGATAATACATTTTGTGTACGTGCTTAGTTGTACTGCTAAGACTAGCAAGCCAAGCAAAATTATGATAGAGATCTGAATTAAATAATATTTATTTAAAACATTATTTCCTTTTTTTTTTCATCTTTAATGAGCTTAATTTTGGATAAAAATTGTAGATATATCGTCAAACTACAATATGCCACGGAACCAACTTACGCATATTTTCATTTTGATGAAATTAATAATTTTCGTTTTATTTGTTCATTGGGCTGACGGCGATGCATATTCTGCTAATACAGGGTACGGTCAAACCGACGACGTAATCGTTGTACCAACCGATCATAACCAAGAAAGTGAACAGATAGATCAAGGCATCACTGCAAATAAGAACGAAGTTTTTAAGCTTTTGACAGAAATAAATGCCACATTTGATCAGTTATATCAAGATGGCGTTAAAGCTTATAATGACCATTTGTGGTATTCTTGTGCAAGTAAAATGGAAAGAGCCATAAAAGACTACAATAATTTCAAGAGAGTTTTATCAGATTGCAGATTAGATTGTAGTAAGGGTATCAGATCATCAAAGCTGACTAATATAACTTCAAAATTTGTTGACTTTTCTGTCTATGCAAGTTTTTTAAAAGCATCAGATTGTTTTAGAAGATGTACAGATGAGTCACTTACTACACACCCTAAAGTGACAGAAAAGCTTGAAAGCTTATTCGAAAAAAGAAAACCATACATGTATTTACAATTTTGTCTATATAAGGTAGGCTGAAGCATGAATATGAAAATATACCAAATTGCTTGCTTTTAAAAACGCTAATTTTTATGCAGATTTTTAAAGCTAAAAATGAATAAAATACATATTTTTCTGGCATCTTTTGCACTGACCCAATACTAATAGTTTTTCAGATATTACACATTATTGGGCAGTTGGCCCTATATATCATTTATGTGCGGTGGTGTCTCTAGTCTAGGTTAGGTGACACCCAGGAGTCCATCTATCCCAACCACTGTAAATGCTGTACTAATAAAAACTAGATACACTGATGGTGACCCCCTTGCCACCATGGATGGTTTAACATTAAGCCAAGTGTAATTTTCAGATTAAGATATTCAATTTTGTATGTATTAGCTTAAGTTCATGCAGAATAGGTCAATAATATTTTTAACAAAGAAATACTACTGTGATAACTGTAAATTTAACTTATTTGTAAATGGATTTACTTTATTTATTTGTTATATAAAATTAGTATAAACTAAAACAATAAAATGTAACAAACCATTTGCTTTTAAAAAATTATAGATCTAACTAAAGCATCCCAGGGCTAGATCTAGTATTTTTCACAATATTTTTATTTGAAAAATTGGCTTTAAATTAAATCTTTTATAGAAAAATAAATCCATAATATTCAGATTAAATTATTATAGTATAATATTTAGTGTGTAAAAAATATATTTTAATTTAAAGACTTCAACCATTAGCTATTAATATTTTATTGGTGAAATAGTTACAGTAAGTTATTTATAGCTATAATTATGCATTGATAGTCAAGGGAGTGTACTCAGAAATTAAAATCTATAAATAACCAAAGTAGGATTGTTCTTTTTTGTAGTGGCCTAGCTTAAGTGTTTTTGTGATTCTAAGACCAAATAAATGTGTAACAAAGATTGTTAAATTTTTGTTTTTGTCTATACTCTTTGCTCTGGTACTGACAGTATAATTCCAGATCTGCATTCTTTCTAGGATTATTTTAAAAATCATGTATGTTGTTTAAAAACTAGCAATTTATTTATTCCAGCTGGACAGATTTACTCAGGCAGCTTCTGCAGCCTATACTTTTCTTCTGGCTAATCCTGATGATGAAGATACAAAACATAATATCATCTACTACAGGGACCAAGTCAAGGTTGCAGAACAAGATTTTATTGATTTGGAGATGAAGCCTTACAAAGTAAGCATGTATAAGCAAAAAGTATATTGGTTTGGATTAGTTGCCTTTTAAAAATTTTCTTTGTTTATTGGCTTTTTTTTTTGAGTTTCTATATTGTAATTCTTTTAAATAGGAAAATTATATTCGAGCTTTAATGGCGTATAAAGCAGAGCAGTGGCAGGCTACAATTGATCTAATTGAATCAGCTTTAGAAGAGTACTGGAAGGAGAATGAACGTTGTCAAGTTGAATGTGAAGCACAGAGTAAATGGCAGGGAACTGAATTCAAAACTGAAGTAGCAGGCAAGTTTTATCAATCGACTTGTTAATAACGTCACATCAAGTGTAGTCAATGGTAAAAGTGTATATTCCTGATCTACTTGTTACTAAACTATGACAATTGGAAAAATTGTTTATGTTACACTAAGTAGGGGTTATATATTAAATTGGCTATATCCACAGATTGGATAATCAACATTTTAAACTGCCAACTTAGGTGTGAGGAGAAGCTAAGCATTGTTTTTTCTGATCCTATTCCATTCTTCCTTCGTGATATGTATCATTACCTACAATTTGGCTACTATAAAGGTAACACAAAATAATACCAAATTAATTTTTATCATAATTAATTATTTTTAACTGCTTTCAGTAGATGTTTCTGACTTTGACTTGTTTGTTTATAATTGAAATGTTGAGTTTTGCAAATATTATACTCCAGATTTTTATGGAAACACACTTTAATTCAAAATGCAGAATGTTCATCTTTTATGTTGAGCAAATGATTACTTTACCCAAATTAAATCTAAAAAAATAACTTTAGTTATGTTTTCAGTCACTACCAAAAATGATTGTCCATTAAATAAAATAGAGGCTAAGAGTAAGGGGGTAGTGTATTTTGATTTTCTTGACCTATGAGCCTGGGTTTAGCCAGAGCTGCTTCCCATACTTTAGCATTAATCACTTGAGCAATGCTTGCCTATGCTTACACTAGCATGCCAGAGCAGAATGTGACAAGCCACTTTGATCTGTTTGTTTCCACCAGGATTTTTTTCTTTATCTGTTATTTTAACCTCCCATAGCATTGGGGGATGACCTGAATAATTGCTAGAACACAAGACCACCTTTATTACTTTGGCACTACCTAAGTTGAACTAGAATTTTTGTTTTTTTTATAATTACTTTTATCGTTTACCTTCTGGTCCCTGCTGAGATACATTTTACACCTAATAAAAATCTATTATAATGTTTATACCTGATTAAACATGCAACATAATACTGAATTAATTGATGGTATTGAATTGACACTGCTAGTTAATAGCTTCCTCAACAGCTCAGATTGTTGATTTTTTGCGTTGTACAATTTTTTTTGGAACAGATTTAACTCTTGAATCTTTCAGTAAAAAATCTGGAAAAATCAGTTGCTGCAACAGCTACCTTCTTGCTATTTAACTCTACACACAAGGTGATGTTGGAGAATAAAAAGATGCTGAAAGAAAAGTTAGGATACACTGACAAGGATTTTGTTCCTAGAGAGGTTATCTAAATGTTTTTACACTTGTAAAGTATAATTTTATTTTTATTAAAAAAAAAAATTAAATCATAAAACTCTTAAGATATTCTTATTAGGTCTTTATAATATATTAACTAGAAAGTTATAATAAAAACTTATTATACTCAAGAAAACAATAAATAAAACACTCCATATTTGTTACAGGATGCTGCAGAATATTTGGCTAGGAGGAAAGAAATGCAGGAAATAATGGATAATATCAACAAAAATTATATGTGGCCAGATAAAAGTGTAATGCGTTTTTTTATTTTTGTTTGTAAATAATTTCTGTAATTTCAAACCTAGTTACTTTTTTAAGTAGATGTACAATGTTGTTCAGTTTGTTTTTAATTTTATTATATATTTTTTCAACTGTATGAATCTGCTTGAAAATTATAGATGGTCAAGGAAGAGCCTGAAGCCACTCCCAAAGCTGAGCAAGTTTCAGATGCTAGTGACAACTGGTTGGCATGGTATGAGCAGATAGGGGTGCATTTGGTAGCAACATTAACTGACTTGAACAGACAAGAAAGAGTTGTGGTGGATGGAATTATTAAAGCAGAGCAATGTGAACAGCTTCTTTCCTTCGTTAAAGTAAGACTACCTTTTCTGGTAATACTTTTGTCATCACTAAGATTTGCACAAAGAACATTTATTGTTAGTAACGTGGTTTTTAATTAAACTTACTTCTCATAAACATGTAGCTTCTGTCTAAATTCTCTGAAATGTTGGTTCAATTTTACATAGAGTCTAGTAAGCTTAAAACATACTATTTTGAGTTTTTAATGTAATAAATAATGGGGAATAAGCTGAACAATTTCTTGTATAGAATGTGCTGTAGAAGATATAGGTTATTTTGGTAATCAATAAGATTATTTTGTTTACATTTTTTAGCTTTTAAAATGACAAAATATCAAGAAATACTTCTCTGTTTAAAATTTAATATATTTTTGACAGAAAAAGATAAATTAGTGACTGCAATATTGAAGAGCGTGCTCAAAAAGATTCTATTATACACATACATTTATCCCCCAATTTATTGATTGTAGGATATGAAAGAACAGACTTCAGGACCCCAAACATTTGATTTTAAAAGAGCTCAGAAGGTGGGTTAGCAATATTTTTTATGTTAGTTTAACTTGGCTGTACCAATAGTTTATTTTTAATTATAATTAAATAAATATGCTGTGAAAATTTGAATTTAAAAAACAACTAAATTGAGAGCACATTTTTTTCCAGTTATTGAAAGATGATCCAAACGAAGAATTAGAATCAACTCTTCGACTTATGATTAGATCTTCTGAGTCCATACAAGAGTACTTACATAGATATCTAGGCTCATATAATCCTTTTTATTTTAATAACATTTCCATTGTATGCTGGCAAAAACCCAAGGGTCAGTTCAGATTTTATACAATCATTGTTGATATGTTAAACTGTCAATATTAATTAACAAATTTTAAAATTTTAATATTTTAATTAAAAGTGGTTTATGTATTCAAATCACGTAACACAGGTTATGTTTGAAATGCTTGTAACTCAGGTTATGTTTCAAATATTTGTAGATCCTGGACTTGTTAAAAACTGCTACCCACAGGAAGATGGTTCATGTATTCAGTTTGACTCTATGCCAGATAAACTTTCTTCAGATTCCTATACGTAGGTTTATTTTAAAATGGCTTAAACAACAGCTTAAGTAGCTAGGTTCATCTTAAGGCTTAAAATACTTAAATAGCATTATAGAAACTTTTAATCCCCAAAAATTCTGTCATTGTGCTTGTTTTTGACTGCAAACAATTTTTGACAGGACTATCACCTATCTTAATGCTGTTGAAGATGGAGATTTTCAGTTTTTGAATGAAAAACAGAGAGTTGATGTGAGTTAAAAAAACATTTATCATTCTTATAAGTTTAACTTCTATGCTATTTTTTACAAACTAGAAGCTTGCAAAGAATTCTGTTGGAAATCTTACTTAGTTCTTATGTTAGCTGTTCTGACCAGTTACTTTATAAATGTGAAATGATATATGTAAGAACCACAATAACTCATAAACACATTGATTTTTCTAAATTTATAGCTGGTCTTTAATTTATTACCAAGTTTGTATAGCTTTATTAAAAAATAAAAATGATAATTGAAATATAATGTCAGTAGCTAAATGGTTCCATAATTCATTATTTCAGAATTCTTTTGGTGTTAAATGTGGTAGAACAATAGGTTTTAACTCCAATGATCGACACACTTTGAAGATACCGGATTCAGATGTTCAGAGATGTGCACTAATCACAAGGTCTAATTAATTGGCTTTATTCATATCTAGTTTTTTTTTTAAAGTTTCTCTCTAAACTTGCTGTTTATTAATTTCAAGATCTGATTTAATTGTATCTATGTTGTTTTATGCCATTATCGTATAAAGTAATATCATCACTTACATGTAGATAATTAAAATGTCTTGGTACAATGTTGTTCCTAATGTTAATCTTGTGTCAAATTACTTTTCTAATTCAGGTTCAAACCCCAACCTCCGCATGGTGCAGATGTTAAGGGTACTGTAAATTTGTTGAGAAATATTGATGAGCTGAGATACATCAAAACAAACATAAGTGCTAAGGAAGTGTTGACAAAATTTTATGAGCAAGGTATTTATAAATAGCCTTTTAACTAGGAAAGTACAGAGCATTTTTTCTTTAAACATTTAAATACCATTACTGAAAAAACATTAACAATAACAATAAAACTGTCCATTATATTAAAGTTTTAAAAAGTATGGCTCCATAACACTGACCTTAAAACTTAACAAATCCAAACTTTTACAAGTGTTTTTAAATAACCTGAAATGTAATACAGATTGCTATAGCACATTTAAACTATTTTTATTGTAGGTGTAAAGGTTGCTATGAATGGTACTGATTTGAAAGGAAAAGAAAGAGTTGTGGTGGATGAAATGGCCACAGAAGAGCAGTGCAGTACTTTGAGAAATGTTGCCCTGGTAAGTTGACATAACATTTTATTCTTTTGTTGAACTCTTTATAAAATGCAGTTAATTTCCAGTAACAATATGAAATTATTTGTTTCTGGATGAAAGATTAGGGTAGCATCTGGCTTCTCTTAAAGAGACTAATACAAGAATGCATTAGAAACTTCAGAGATAAATAGGAAAGTAGTTTTTAAAAAAACTACTTTTTAGAAGAAAAATTCACATTTGTTTTTTATTCAAAGAAAGTCTTTCCCACATTCTGAAATCAGGGGTTTTACTGTAATGGATGGGTTGTGTGTTTAATTCTTCAATGCTGCATGCCGTTTTACAGGAACTTGGTAAAGCTGGTGATGGTTACCATGGCAAAAAGTCACCTCATACTGTTAATGAACTTTTCACAGGTCTTGAACTTAGCAGGTTGTCGAAGGTATTTTTCTACATGGCTAAATATTTTGCACACAGTATTTTTTGGTCGCTTCTCCTTTTTTGTAGCCTTGTGACTCAGTTAGTGGAGCATCAATATATGGTAGTTGTCTGCTTATTCCATGAAATGGGCAAAAGTTAGCAGGTGGTATTTTGTAAGCTTTGGTTGAGGGATTGTGTATATCTGCTAGTTAACTGAATTTTAATTGAATCGATCACAGTAAGATTTAAGTTTGATCATTGGTTAAATATAAACATATAATTATAGGACTCATCTATATCACTTTTAATAATTATTTTTAAAAATCTAAAAGTTTGTACTTAAAACTAATGAATGTATATTCATGCTCATTTTATGTTAAGTTAATCTTATTCTGTCATTTACATATTTTATAATTTGCAATCTCATATTTCATCTAAAAACATACTTTAAATAATGCAAGATTAATTTAAAATAGCAAGTATATGCAATAGTTGTGTTTTTAATTAAATTATACAGTAGCTTTGACATAATACAATCTTAAATATGAAATGTGCACAACTGTTTTTAATTATAAAGACCCAACACACAAATTGGCATTGCAAATTCTCTGTTATGGTTTCATTCAATGTTTGTTGTTAATTTTTACTAATTGTTTAAATTTGTATCTACTTTTAAATTGTAAAATCACAAATAGAGGACACATTTTTGTGATTATTTGGGTATTTCTTCTTTAAAATTGTTTTTTTTCCAGATTTATGCAACTAGCAAATTTCTTAAATATAATGAAATACATCTAGTTATTTGTTTATGTAGTCTTATGTTTTATTTTGTCAAATTTTGACAGGCAAATGGCTTTTGACTTAAAACACTTGTATCATGATTTTTAATCGAACAACTATCTCTATTTTTTTTTCTGTTGTTCTGCCATCATTGAATTAAGCTGATCCAATATTTCTATCCATCTATTAATTTAACTACCAAATTTACCTTTGAACTGGTCTTTAATATTCTCTTTTGCTAAAAGTGACATTTGAACACAACTGAAGACTTGACTTGCTTGATTATTATTTAAATAAATTTAAAAACCATGACTCAAGTACATTTGCCAAATCAAATTTGTAGTTTAAATTCATGCAGGAATTGTTTTCTTTTAAATAATTTTATTTGCAAGGCATTTTGTTACATTAGCACACACAAAAATTACTAGCTATAAAAAAGTGAGTTTATTGTAGAGGATATACCATATTCTATCAAACACCCTTTCTACCCCATTGAATTAGCAACATTTTGCCATAATGTTATCAATATACATCCCTTCCCCCAACTCCTCATTACATACTTTTAAAATAATAAGTTGTTAATATTAATCTGATACAATAAATTGATAATTTGTATAATAATATATTGTGCCTTAATATATTGCAATCAAGCCTGTTTCCTTTTAAAAATTCAAGATCTAGCTTTTGAACTGTTTGAAATCACAGACATGATTTTTTCACTAGATTTGGTACTGTTTCTTGATAAAGAATTTCATCAGTAAAACCATAAAGCCATAAAGGTTGAATTTAAGTTATCAGTTTAACTCAAATTTTGTAACTCCAAATTCTAATAAATAGCCTGAGTTAATGATCATCTTCCAGGTAAGTTAAACAACATTTCTCCAAGAAATCCTATCTATAATTTTAATTCATGTATATCTTATTTGGCTTGCTTTTTAATATATGTTACTTTAGAGTATTTCACTACTTGGTGATGGGTACCTGCACCTGGCCTCCAAACCCTCCTTCATCTCCCCTCACACAGAACATGAGTTGTACCAAGGAATAACTGTTTATAGAGCAGCTAAGGTTTGTATTGGGTACTAAGGGAACTAACCCTGTGTTGACAAAACTAAATTTAACTGTTGGCTTTATCTTTCAACATTCAGATGTTGAACTTTCTATCTTTTCTTTGGTATTTTGATTAGAATTAAAAACTACAACTAAAGAAGAGCTTTTTTAAAAAAATTTACTGTGCCTGTTGTCTCTTTCTTCCAACCTAATATTTCCTTGATAGATTACCTTACGCTACATAATAATAACTTACTCCTGCTAAATGCTTATAACAGAAACCAATGCATTTGAACATTTATATTAATTGGCTTATTTCCCAAAAGAGTAGAAATTTTTTTATAAATGCTTTTTTAGTAAGTGCATTTTTTAAGCATGCTATTTTTCATGTAGAAACAAAAAAAGTCTTTGTATTGTGTGTTATGTTTTGATAGTTTTATTTCTCAGATTAATATAAAAACAGAACTTTATGCAATGCTTATTTAATAAATTTTTACTTTGTAACCTAAAATATGATAACGTTTATATCTATTCAGAAGTGCAAGTAAATAGCTTTTAGTTACTCTTAAAAGTTGCTTTATTTAATTGTAATTTTGACAATTCCTCAGCTAACTAATGACGGCATTATATCAAGCTATGGTCTCCGTACATTTCTTGAACTGAGTGAAAAGTCTAGGCTGTTTGTAGAAAAATATTTCAACCTTACCAAGCCACTGTTTTTTGATTACACTCATTTAGTTTGTAGAACTGCCATTAAAGGTAAGCTGATGAATGTCTGATGGGGCACAATTTTTATCGCATTAAAAAAATATATACTGTACTTCTGTATGGGAGGTCACAAAAACAGATCAACTCTTTCAAGTCCCAAAGAATATTTTTACTTTACTGCACTTCTTTATATTTTTTTTATTAAACAGGTAGTCTCCCTTTTAGAAACTGCAGTTCCCCTACAAGAACCTGATAGTTTTCCTTTATGAAGCTGATAGCTTTCCCTTCTAAACCCACACTAGTATTGGCTAAATCCAACTCTGTCACCACAGTTTGTTATAGACAGTGGTGTATAGAAAAATAGCCCAGCACATGTTACTACACTAGTCAGGCTGATTGTTAAATTTTAAACCTACTATTGCTCTTAATAGACATGACTTGTCCATTCAGCATGATCTTAAAGATCCTACCCAATTTGTTTTTTTTTTGTCTCAGACCCCAGCTTTCCTAGAGAAGATTTGAGTCACCCAGTCCATGCTGATAACTGCAATCTTAACGAGGATGGCTCATGCACTAAAGGCTTCCCAGCTTTCACCCAAAGAGATTACAGGTAAACCTTGTCACAAATTTTAATTTGGTCACAGAAAACCCTATCATGATCTCCAATTATAAATCAGCCTAAATAAATCATGCTACATTTATCATGAACTTCATCTACACATGAAATTTAAAGGAATCATACAATATAGATTCAGATATTTTAAAATTATGTTTATGTAAATTGTTTTACTAATTTCATCGTTGATCAGACATTTATATCAAGTTATTTGCTTGCTTCCAGTGCCTTGCTGTACTTAAATGCAGACTTTGAAGGAGGAGAGTTCTTTTTTGCTCATGCCAACAAATCAGAACAGGTAAATGATTGTATGCTTTTGTGAATAGCAACATTGTTACACGTTATGTTTTAGACTTTGCCTAGTTTGTGGTAAGAAAATTACATTCATAAGTAGTTCAGTATAAGAATCATTCAAGTGAGTCCATATAAATGTGATCTAGTATGTCTGTTTCAGGTCTCCTTGAAATCCAAATGTGGACGCCTTGTTGCTTTCAATGCAGGAGAGTTCCATGGTGTCAAGGCTGTCAAGAGTGGCCAGCGGTGTGCCCTTGCTCTCTGGTTTACTCTCAACTCACGCTACAAGGAGCTGGCTCATACTCAGGTATGCTACATTCTGGTAGCACCATTGTAACACAGGCTACTGCAGCACTACCACAACTTTCAAGTTATACCAAAACAATCAGCATTTTTATATTTTCATGGTTAATTTGAAAAAAATATTTAAAAAATTTTAAAACAATGTTTTTTTCAATTCACTAAATCCAAAAACTAGCATCACTGTAAAAAAAACAACTGCATATCTTGATATTCTAATCATGCCCACATTTTATCTACCAGGCCCACAGGATTCTCAGGGTTGTTGAGGATTCCCAGAAATCTGATATAAAGCACCAGGAGCTTTAAAGTCAGCCAGTAAACACATCAGTAGAAAATTTGATCAGCCAACCAAAGCAGCCCACACAACAGTAGAAAATTTGATGTCAGTCAACCAAAGCAGCCCACACATCAGTAGAAAATTTAATCAGTCAACCAAAGCAGCCCACACATCAGTAGAAAATTTGATCAGTCAACCAAAGCAGCCCACACATCAGTAGAAAATTTGATGTCAGTCAACCAGAGCAGCCCACACATCAGTAGAAAATTTGATGCCAGTCAACCAAAGCAGCCCACACATCAGTAGAAAATTTGATCAGTCAACCAAAGCAGCCCACACAACAGTAGAAAATTTGATGTCAGTCAACCAAAGCAGCCCACACATCAGTAGAAAGTGTTCCTAAAATACTTTGGGCCTATAGGGCTTTTTTTTATCTATCTATTATTTAAGATCTTGTCATGTCCAGATTTCTGAGTTGTGCCTCTGCCAGATTATTTACAAGTGGTGACTTTTTAAATAAAACTGTCTTTTAGATGTGAAGTTTGGCCAGCTAACTGATGTTCGAGCTAAGGCCAGTGTTATTGTAGATGTGAAGTTTGGCCAGCTAACTGATGTTTGAGTTAAGGCCAGTGTTATTGTAGATGTGAAGTCTAGTCTTTTACCTAGCAAAGCTGAAGCTGTTAGACCAGTGTCACAAGGGAGTAATGTTTATGGCACATTGACTTGGGGAATGGTGTCATTTTATTGCTTCAACAAGTGTAAAAGTTTGGGGAAAACATGATCAGTTCATTGATGTTGTTTTTCTAGAGTTGTTGGCTTGTGACATTTGAAGATAAATGACATAATACTATGGTGCTAATTTTTTTATTCATTTGAATCTTTGCATACTTTTTATGCATTTTTAATATATATGTTGTTTTTTTTTATACTCAATTTGCATTTCTTACAAAATCAAAATTTTATTTAACTTGTCTGAATCTGTATAGTAACACTATGGGACTATTGCAAGGGAATCAGTTTTGTTTATAGTATAGAACAAGTTTGTGACTGCAACAAATTTGTCTTCTTGAAAAAGTTAATATTGTTAGTTGTTAGCTACATTTTAAAAAAAAAAATGTTTGATTATGCAATAAAATTGCAGCATACTTAAAATACATAATAAGTGTTTTGTCTTTTGGTGATGTTCCGCTTGGTTTTAGTATCGCACGTACAGGTGTTCTTATGGAGTTTCTAGCGCCGTGAGGATGCGCTGAGGGTAGAAAACAACAAGTTACAACTGTGTCAATAAAAAGTTTGTCATTACAAATCTGTCCATTGAAATAATCTCATATGCAATGTCACGTGATCGATAGGAAGGCCTGTGTGTTGCTTTTTATTTCTCATGTGGCTTTGGTGTTATTATTGATGGTGGTGTGAAGGTTTTGGCGAGTCACACTTTTTTTTTCAAAGTTATATGCAACAACACAAAAGACCACAGCTTTTCTTTAAAAAAAAACTAATGTTTAGACAACAGTACAAAACCTCCCATACGAATGTTTTTAAATTTTAAAGCCAACTCACTGAGCACACGGGGCAGCAAGCTCCAGGTGGCCTATAGCTAACACACGCCGGTAAGGCACAGTCCATTACAGAACATATGACGTGACCACCAGAACATCCACAGAAAACACAAGGACCAGACTTGAAGCTCTGCCCTTCCTGGCGGCGAGCAAGAGATTAAAAACAGATAAGATGGTCATCTTTGCACCTGGGATCCGCTTATTGTGTGCCCCGGATAGGGCTTCTACTTGAATCCACCGGCGGCAGTGTCATCTGGAGCGCATCACATATGAGCAGTTTGGCCCCTAGAGTTGTTTAAATGTGCACACTATTCTAGGGTTAAGTCTTGCTACTACATTCAATGACTAAATCCGTCACAGTAATGTAACCTGTTGCTCCCCGCAACGCCCCTGACAATTGGGCCGCCGCCGATGGGTAATCAGCGTAAAATGACGCTTACAGCATGCCCTGTGGTGTCTCGTTGGTAGTGTAGATAAACCTGCGCCCAGTAGCGAACTAATAGGGGGGGGCTGAGAGGGCTGCAGCCAGGGCCCCTGATTTTGAGGGGTCTCTTCTTAAACATTAGATAAAGTATCCAATAGATACTAATGTGATCCACGCTTATCTTCATAGTTATTTAAATAGTAGTGTAAAATTTATTTTCTCCTTTTTAGTGCATTATTACATAAAAGCTTGTTATTAAAACGTTTTTTTAATGAAATTTTATTTAACTAACTTCCTCTGTCTGTCGTCCAGTGGCGTAGGCAGGAGGGGGGTTAGGGGGGTCATAATCCCCCTTCCCATAGACCCCTCGGTATAGATATATAAAGTATGAGGGGGTGTAAATCGAAAGTTTGAGGGGGGGGGGGGTGCAAATCGAAAGTTTGAGGGGGTGCAAATCGAAAGTTTGAGGGGGGGGATGCAAATCGAAAGTTTGAGGGGGGTGCAAATCGAAAGTTTGAGGGGGGGGGGGTGCAAATCGAAAGTTTGTCCCCGGGTAAAAATTGGAAACCCCCCCCCCCCTTGAGACGATCCTGGCTACGCCACTGCTGTCGTCAGTCTGTCTAGATAGAAACGCCCGAGCGAAATTGCAGGTATTTCTAACTGACAGATACGGTTCGTAGTTGGTACGTGGGTCTAGACATGAAGACAATCAATCATGACATTAAATATGACCTTATTGGTTGCCTAATTATTATTTTTATGAATTAACCAAAATTGTGTCCAAATTAGTAGGCTGTCTCGTCAAACTATTCCGCGCTATTAGACACGCGTCATCACGTTCATTAGGTGCGCATGGTTTTTAGTCATGCAAGTCTATTGTAAATGTTTCAAACATTTAAAGTACTGGAAAAAAATTCATAAAAAACGTTTTAATAACAAGCTTTTATGTAATAATGCACTAAATAGTAGAAAATAAATTATACCCTACTATTTAAATAACTACACAGAAAAGCGTGGTTGGGGTGGGGGTGACACTTTAGTGCCACACCGGGTGGTACCCGATCTATTAATCTCCCCCCCCCCCCCCATATAAACCGTTTGTTAGGCTACTTAACATATTGGCATGAAAGTTGATGTAAATGCATTATTCAACTACACTGTGTCTGTGGTGCTGCGTATTGTACCTACCTCATAGTGGACCCCGTTATAATCACAGCCAGTTGCTCTTGGCGAACCATGCACAACCGCAGCAAGAGAAAACAGAGCGCACACAATCAGCGAGATTCTCATCTTGTTATTTGATTATTTCGTCTGAGACTTGGCTCGGCTAGACACCAGCTTTAATCACAACCAATTATTTTTATTTTTATCTCAGACATAGATCGTGATCTTTAAAGTATGTACCAAAGATAAAAACCTGATGAGAAGATAAGAAGGATGTCGGTGTGGTACCAGTAATGTTTAATGGAATATATAAGAACGGAATTGGCCATATTGAAAACTAAGTTTGTAATAAAATTGTTAATAAGTGTAAAGCACAAAAATCCCTTCCATATGTTAAGTCATATCAGTTAATGAACTGTGACTTTAAAGCTCTAATTAAAGTTAAAAATTCTTTGAAATGTTAATTGACGATCCAGAGAAGTGTGTGTGTGTGGGGGGGGGGGGGGTGTAACACCAGAACGTAAACATGCTAACTATAGAGAAATCAATACTAGATCCAGCTGTATTGATAACCGACCATAGATTAACATCGTTACTATGAAGTTTACACAGACTAAAGCTATCACCGGGGGAGTGGTGGTGACACCATGAACAGCAGAGTTTCTTCCAGGCATCTCTTCGGGGGGGGGGGGGGGGCACTGCCTCCCCCCGAAGAAAGTCTACCGCCCCCCCCCCCCGAACGAAATGGAATTTATATAGAAAATATATACTTTTGACAGTCCGCCCCCCCCCGAAAATTTCAAGTGCACCCCCAGAGAAAAAAGTCTGGAAGAAACACTGATGAAGAGCCGCACCGAATGACGTCTGACCTTGTGACTCCGTTGGCTTCAGTCAAGTAAGACAGTTATAAGGCTGCTGTCGTGTTGGACAGTTCTAAAGCTTCAGTCATGTTAGTTCTTTAGTACTAGTTATACTTAAATCTAATGATAAATAGATCGAGTTTGTGCTTACTAATGAGATTGTCTTTAGTTTTAAAAATGTTAAGTTTACACATCATCTACCATTTCTCTTGCTTTCTCATATAGCCTATCCATGATTAGCAGTACTACTAGAGCTTATCGGTAAGGTCAAAGTCAGCATCACATTTTTAAGACATTTGATTTTTTCCCCACTATTAGAGCTTTGTTCTGTTAGCTAATATTTCTCACAAAAATGTTTGAAAAAGTCAGGCACATTGTCTGTTCTTTAATCATGGCGTCCATTTTTTCCTTCTCAAAGGCCAGGGAGCAAAGCGCAGTTTCTTTCAGACATTTCTCCTTGAGAAAATGTCTGAAAGAAACCCGAGCGCAAATAAACAGAATACACATGCGCTAGTAAAATGCAGGTTACAGCCATCGAACAAGCAGAATAAAAAAAAACACGTATAAAAGCATTTTGTACTTACAAACTTTGAAATGCAATAAAAAAACACAATAATAAGCATAAACCCTTTTAGCTAAAATAATAAAAATAAATGCGTTGGTCGCTCTTAACATTTTTTTCCCCCAATACATTTTGCGCGAGCACCGCTTTTATTTAATAAACTTTTGTTTTGATAACATCGTCTGTCTGTGGATGTGTCGAATCGTGTTACCCAAATTTGATCCACTTATTTAGTTATTCAGCGATTTTGTTTCAAGGTAACAAAAGTAAGCAGCTTTGTATTCACGATTGTTTTTAGACCCAGTGTTTCTTCCAGACTCTTTTCTCCTGGGGAGGGGGGGGGGGGCTTTAAATTTCCGGAAGGGGGGGGGGGCGACAATGTTAAAAGTATATATTTTCTATATAAATTCCATTTCGTTCGGGGGGGGGGGGGGCGAAGAAACACTGTTTATACATGACCACGGAATCGAATCGCAGCCTACACCAATTTAAATTTCCATTAATTTCGTCCTCAACTACGTCGACACCCAGCACGGCTAAACTATTTACTTTAGATTTAAATCCCGATCGGCAGACCTAACGCTGACATAACTCTCCCCCTTATAGAGCCCGTATCCGACTATCATGTGAATGCGAGCGACACTTACTAATTCTTGCTATCTTTCCTTTTGTTATTGAATATAATCATCTTTTAAAACACTATCAGTAGCTCGTGAATGAAGATTAACTTAGATTTTTATAGTCCATGCATTTAAAAACATGATATCTTCGCTGTAATTTGGTCTTCTGCGCAGATTTTGTTCTTCATGTTGCACTCTTTAACAAAAAAACAAACTAAAAATAGTACTTGAATTTTGCAGTGTTTACATTTTGAATAAATGAAGGAAGAAAATAACATTAACCCTTTTATTCTGGTGTTAGTACTGTATAGGCTTGTGAATGGGATGTTCCACTTGGTTTTAGTATCACACGTAGAGGTGCTCTTACAGAACTTCTAGCGGCCCAGTGAGGATGCTCTGAGGGTAGAAAACAAAACATCACAACTGTGTCCATATAAAATGTATCATTACAACTATGACAATAGAAATAGTGTGTCATTACAGTTATTTTCATATAAAATGTGTCATTACAACTGTGTCCATATAAAATGTGTCCTTACAACTGTATGTTCATAGAAAAAAGCGTGTCATTACAGTTATTTCCATATAAAATGTGTCATTACAAATGTGTCAATAGAAAGTGTGTCATAACAAATGTGTCCATATAAATAATCGCATATACGCAGTGTTTCTTTCAGACTTTTTTCTCAGGGGTGGGGGGGGGCAGTTGAAATTTTCCGGGGTGGGGGGGGGGGGTCAGACACTGGTAAAAGTGTATATTTTCTATATAAATTATATTCCGTTCGGGAGGGGGGGGGGGGGCTCAACCCCCACCGAAAAGATGTCTGGAAGAAACTGCATATGCAACGTTAGCCTCCAACGTGAGGTGATCGATAAGATGGTCTGTGTCTTGTTTCCTATTTCTCATGTGGCTTTGGTGTTGTAATCAGAGGCTAGCGACGCCATTGGTTGTTATTGATGGTGGTTTGAAGGTTTTGGACAAAAAATACAATAGGCCACAACTTCTAAAATTAATTATTTTAGACAACAGTACAAAACCTCCCACGCGTATGTTTTTAAATTTTAAAGCCAACTCACTGAGCACACGGGGCAGCAAGCTCCAGGTGGTGTTGTGTAGCTAGCACACATCGGGAAGGCGCAGTCCATTATAGCACACATGGCGTGACCAGCAGAACATCGACAGAACTCACAGGGAGAAGACGAGAAACTCTGCCCTTCCTGGCGGCGAGGAAAACATAATAAAGGGAGATAAGATGCTGATTTAGTTCAAGAGTTAGTAGAGCGTTAATTATGACAAGTCAAACTTACAGATCTAATTAATTGTAATCGCGCGCTAATTAATTTAACCATACGACATAAGGTATAATTTTTTTTTTCTATCGAAGGTCTATTACATCAATTGGTCGTGGCGTTTTTTTAAAGCTAAAAGAAATGGTTCGCTCAACTCTATACCGTTAAGGAGGCTACTTAGTCTACTAGCATGAAACTGTATTTTGATGTCCTAATCAACTACACTGTGTCTGTGGTGCTATGTATTATTGTACCTACCTCATAGTGGACCCCGTTATAATCACAGCCAGTTGCTCTTGGCGAACCAAGCACAACCGCAGCAAGAGAAAACAGAGCGCACACAATCAGCGAGATTCTCATCTTGTTATTTGATTATTTCGTCTGAGACTAGGCTCGGTTAAACACCAGTTATAATCACAACCAACTATTTTTTAATCACATAGACCGTGATCTTTGAAGTATGGACCAAAGATAAAATCCTGATAAGAAGATAAGAAAGATGTCAGTGTGGTTCCAGTCAGTTATGTTTAATGGAATATGTAGGAACGGAATTGACCCTATGGAAAACTAAGTTTGTAAAAAATTGTTAATAAGTGTAAAGCACAAAAATCCCTTCCATATGTAAAGTCATATCAGTTAATTGTACTGCGACTTTAAAGCTCTAATTAAAGTTAAATATTCTCGAAGTGCTAATTGACGATCCAGACAAGTGTACGCGTGTATGCGTAAGGGAGGGGGGGGGGGGGTGGAACACCAGGCCGCAGAGGCGTAGCGGGGGGCCGGGGGTACATATCTCATTGCGCCGACCCTAGGGGGCGCCAAAATAGGTTGAAAAAAAATTAAAAGCTAATTTTAGCTGCAGTTTTGCGTTATAAATATAAAAAATAAATTGGGGAGGGGGGGGGGGGGTGCGCCAAATTAAAAGTTTGTCGGGGGGGGGGGGTGCCACATTGGAATACCAACTAAGAGACAAAGTGCTTCCCGGGCGCCGGGAAGGGTCGCTACGCCTCTGCCAAGCCGTTAACCTGATAACCATAGAAAAAACCAATGCTAGATCCAGATAATGTATTGATAACCGACCATATATTTCATCGCTACTAATAAGTTTACACAGACTAAAGTTATCACCGGGGGAGGGATGGTGACACCATGAAGAGCCGCACCGAATGACGCCCGACATTGCGACCATTGGCTCCAGTCATGTAAGATAGTTCTAGAGCTTTCAGTCATGTTGGACAGTTCTAAAGCTCCAGTCATGTTGGGCAGTTCTAGAGCTTCAGTCATGTTGGACAGTTCTAAAGCTTCAGTCATGTTGGGCAGTTCTAAAGCTCCAGTCATGTAAGACCGTTCTAAAGCTTCAGTCATGTTGGACAGTTCTAAAGCTTCAGTCATGTTGGACAGTTCTAAAGCTCCAGTCATGTTGGACAGTTCTAAAGCTCCAGTCATGTTGGACAGTTCTAGAGCTTCAGTCATGTTGAACAGTTCTAGAGCTTCAGTCATGTTGGACATTTCTAGAGCTTCAGTCATGTTGGACAGTTCTAAAGCTTAAGTCATGTTGGACATTTCTAGAGCTCCAGTCATGTTGGATAGTTCTAAAGCTTAAGTCATGTTGGACAGTTCTAAAGCTCCAGTCATGTTGGACAGTTCTAAAGCTCCAGTCATGTTGGACAGTTCTAAAGCTTCAGTCATGTTGGACAGTTCTAAAGATCCAGTCACGTTGGACAGTTCTTGAGCTTCAGTCATGTTGGACAGTTCTAAAGATCCAGTCATGTTGGACAGTTCTAGAGCTTCAGTCATGTTGGACAGTTCTAAAGCTCCAGTCATGTAAGGACCGTTCTAAAGCTTCAGTCATGTTGGACAGTTCTAAAGCTTAAGTCATGTTGGACAGTTTCTAGAGCTTCAGTCATGTTGGACAGTTCTAGAGCTTCAGTCATGTTGGACAGTTCTAAAGCTTAAGTCATGTTGGACAGTTCTAGAGCTTCAGTCATGTTGGACAGTTCTAAAGCTTCAGTCATGTTGGACAGTTCTAGAGCTTCAGTCATGTTGGACAGTTCTAAAGCTCCAGTCATGTAAGACAGTTCTAAAGCTCCCAGTCATGTTGGACTTTTCTAGAGCTTCAGTCATGTTGGACAGTTCTAAAGCTCCAGTCATGTTGGACATTTCTAGAGCTTCAGTCATGTTGGACAGTTCTAAAGCTTCAGTCATGTTGGACAGTTTCTAAAGCTCCAGTCATGTAAGACAGTTCTAAAGCTCCAGTCATGTTGGACAGTTCTAAAGATCCAGTCATGTTGGACAGTTCTAAAACTTCAGTCATGTTGGACAGTTCTAAAGCTTCAGTCATGTTGGACAGTTCTAACCTAACACACTTTAGGGAAAGTAAAGGTAGCTGGGCATAGTGCTGACCACACTATCCCTTCACATGGACACTGAAGCAGGAGAACTCTACTTCACTTGCCCCATGGACCATCAGGTTCGAAAGGGGAACTTCACTCTACTACATTTATACAATGAACAGATTTTTCTTATCTACTTTTTAAAAAAAAAGATAGTCACGGCGACTTTTTAGTACTAGTTATACTTAAATCGTATGATAAATAGATCTAGTTTGTGCTACTAATGAGAATGTCTTAAGTTTTAAAAATATTAAGTTTACACATCATCTGCCATCTCTCTTTTACTTCTTGCATTTCATCATATAGCCTACCCAGAGGTGTAGCGAGGGGCGGGGGCGGACTGCACCGGGTGACACGATTTGGGGTGACACCAAGGCAAATAATAACTACATAAAAACGTTTATAATTACAAGCTTTTATAAATGCACTAAAAAGAAGAAAATAATACCATTTTTATTAAATTG